GAATTGATGTCTGATATATAAATCAAGAGAGCTTGGCAAGTACACGAACAACCACCACCCCATATCTCACAACCCCTCAAAGACAGTGAAAAATTTTCCCCCATTCTGCAGTTGGCTCCCTCAATCTGTTCTGACGTCGATCATGTTCGCATATGGGCTGAATAGCGCCCGGTTGGCTTTACTATCATCAATGTGGCTGCGGGTGCCTCGTTCGAAACGAGTTGATTGCTGGCAAGGCAGACGCATGCGATAGATAAACCTGGATCAGCCAAAGAGAAGACAGAAAATATCCCCGGGGCCAGGTTCCCTGAAGAATGATGTGAAAACCTTTCAGCAACGGGCGTCTGGGGTAAGCATCGCTCGTCATGATTGGTTCTCGAGCACTGCGTGCTTCTGAAAGTGCATATAGAAACAGGAACGGTGTGGGGGGACGGCACGGAAGAGGAGGAGCGGAGCGGATCGCAGAGGCATCTATAGTGGACGGGCGAACTATTCATTATCAAATAGATACGGCTTGTGTAACCGTGCATCCCGTTCGATATGGCAAAGGGACCTTGCGTAGCTGGAATCGAGGTGCAAGTCGTGCAACTGGATCTGATCTATCGCTTGAAAGACGCTGACATTGCTTCGGCAAGGCTGACTCTGACTGACTGACGGACGGCATGAGTGAAAATTTTTCATTTACAAGACAGTTGATAATGCAGATCTGAGCCTGCGGGCTGATAGGCTGAATGAATGAATGAATGAGCAAAGGAGACCAGGAAGGTTTGTTTCGTACGAGTATCAAGTCGTGCTTCAAGGTCCAGATTGAAGCTCCCTCGCGGTTCCATCCTAAGAGCGGCAATGCCCGGCAGTTGAGACAGACTTTTGCCCGTCACATCCATTGACATTGCGAAAAAAGCCTGGGCTAAGGCCTTATAAATATTCGAGGTTTCATGGATAGGTAAGCTTTTGTTGGTCCAAGGTATTAAGAGTGAAACTTGAAGGCGGGCATGAACAAAGTTAACATAAATCAAGGAGAAATCTAATACATCATTACCTAGTTGATGATACCGTACCATTAGACACGTTTGAGAAATGATTTTTCGTATTGCAATGAGACACTGAAAGAAATAGCATCTGAAGCGTGGAGCTGATGACTGGACAGTGCTTGTTGCCCTATCAAACAAGTCGGTAACAGATATGTAACATCTGTTACCCCAAAGCTGCCTCGTCTGCGTATCGAGCTGAAGCGAGGCGAGGCGAGGCGAGGCGAATTTGAAGGGCATCTCTCTCATCTTGGACTTAAGTTTGCGCTCAAGTCAGATCCAGATCCAGATCCGGATCCGAAATTTCAAGTCGTAATTCTTTTTTATCAGGGGAATGAGGGGATATTGTGATACAGAGACAAAGAGGATTGCGACCGAGTGTCAGATATCGACAACTGCCGTTGGCCGTAGCCTGTATCCGTAGGGCAGATCGAAATATCCCAGAAGCGCAAGGACCCGACGGAACTTGGAGTTTCCGCTGCTGGTCAGGGACGCTAGCGAGTGGAAGTCCCGACATCCGAGAAACTAAGGCAGGGCAGGGCCATTCCTTTGGTACCTATAGTCACGGACTCACTCACTAGACTATCGCACGCAGCACGGCCGTCACTGAAGCTGTGTGATGAGCTGTACAGTAGGTACTGCAAGTGATGAAGCACCTCATCAAAGGTGGCAAACCTCATTAACGAGAATAAAAGAGACACTCAGAGACAAGAGATTGACCGTCTTCATAGAGTAAATATGGTACCGGACTGAGTGAAGAAGATCACCCGCTCATCTCATTCCATTCATCAACAACGATGATCGGTAAAGACGGACGGTCAAATTCCATCCACATGAGCGAAGTCTCTAATTTATTAGAGACAATTCAGTATACAAAGCCATAGACTAGAGAGCACCAGCTCACGCTACTGATAGCCTGATACCCAACGTTAGACTAACACCCGGAAATGCCACATCCCGAGAGCGGCTCTTTGAACAAGTCTGTCTCAGAACAACACAGGCCAACGATGTTCGGACCTTCTCTCAGAGACGGTACAGAAATGAAATCGTCCTCTCAAAAGACCAACAACGTTGAGCCAGTTGTCAAAAGGAATGACGTCCCGTACGGCTTCCGTCTTGGCTCTGCCTCTGTACCACCACCATCGCCCTCTTTTCTCTCTATAAGCACACATATTATCTGCATAAGCAACGGCTACGGTAAAGACACTGATTCGCTTCGGGTACTTTGTGTCTCGCGTGTTTAGCACGAGTCTCGCCGAATCTGTCCATCACCGATCGAGTTTCCAGTTCCGTTTCCTTTCATGGAGGGGACACTCTTCTGATACACTACTGATACCACTCACTTATAACTCAGCACACCCTCGGTATAGACTAGCCTTCCATCTTGAAACTGTACTCAAGGGCGCATCCATTTGATATCTATCTATCTACCAAAGAGTCTCTTTTATTCTTATCTTTATTTCCCTTCTTGAACCCTCTTACACCCACCCTCACACTCAGTATGGAGAACGTATCAAGTCTTGCTGCCTCACCTATTGGTGTCGATTATCAGCTCCCCCGATTAGTCAGTGAGGGACATTGTGCTGGATACTACATCACCATCACTATCTTCCTTATTGCAGTCTGGTTCTTTTTCCCCAAGAAGCAGACATCCCATCTTGAGATACCGTTCTACAAGGCATCAAAGACCAAATGGATATTCGATGCCGAAACATTAATCAAAGATAGCTACACAAAGGTTGGTCGATTCAATATCACTTACAACACATATACTTATGCTGTACCAGTTTCGAGATCGAGTTTACCAGATCAAAGCTACTGAGGGAGTACAAGTCATAGTACCCGCCCGTCTCGTCGGTGAACTGAAGGGACTGCCAGAAGATATCCTCAGTGCAACAGAAGCCGTGTCAGATGTAAGACCACTCCTTCAAGCTCGCTTCCTACTTGGAATACTAACAACCATCAGGCTCTTCAAAGCAAGTACACAAAATTCTCCCCTGGCCACAATGGTGAACTACTAGCGCTATTGGTCAGAACAAAACTCACACAGAACCTCGCTCGAGTGGTACCCCTTCTCAAGAAGGAACTGGAGTATTTATTGGCCACTGAATTCCCAGCCTGCGAAGACTGGACACCGGTGAAATGGCAACCCTTCAGTCTCCGTGCTGTAGCCCGTCTGAGTGGCAGAGCCTTTGTTGGACCATCCATCAACCGAGACGAGAAGTGGATGGACACTTCGATAAACTTTGCCGTTCATGTATTTACAGCATGCGTCAAGCTTCAGTTCATCCCCGAGTGGGCTCGACCTGTAGGCCAGCATCTTGTCTCAGAGCTTCGCCAGATCCGCAAGGACATCAAGATTGCCAAAGAAATGCTAAAGCCAATCCTCGAAGAGCGACTCCATGATATGGAGTTTTCCAACGGTGGAGATGCACCGGACGACATGATCCAATGGCTCATTGAAGCACTGCCAGAGGAAGAAAAGGCCGACCTCACAACCCAGGCAGAGCTGCAATTGATTATTGCAGCTGCTTCAATCCACACGACCAACAACCTGCTCTGCGAATGCCTTTGCGACCTTGCAGCATACCCTGAAGTACAAGAAGAACTTCGGGAGGAGGCGTATCGCGTTTTGGAAGTTGACAATGGATGGCAGAATAAGGAGAGCATGGCCAAGCTGAAGAAGCTAGACAGTTTCATGAGAGAGGTCCAACGACTCAGTGGGAACATCAGTGAGTACCCTCAACACCGGTCAATATCTCGACGCCAACTAATCATGATATAGCATCATTCATCCGCAAGGTCATGAAGCCCATCTCCCTTTCTGATGGCACCGAACTGCCAGTAGGCACCAAGGTCCTCGCTCCTCAAGCCGGCATCGCTCTCGACGAGCGCTATTTCCCCGACCCCGAACGCTTCGATGCCTTCCGCTTCTACAAGCTCCGACAAGAATCTGCAGAAGCCAGCAATCGATGGCAGTTCACATCCCTCAACGACACATACATCAATTTCGGCGCAGGCAAACACGCCTGCCCGGGCCGTTTCTTTGCCAGTAATGAGATCAAGCTTGTGCTGGCACATATACTCATCAACTATGATATCCGCTTGAAAGCGGGCGAAGATAGACCAAAGGCCATGGCGGTGGTCATGGCTAAGGCTCCTTCTCCAGATACCGAACTGGAGTTTCGACGAAGATCGTGGGCAGCTTGAAGGAAGGGGAGTATGATCATGAACTATTTGATACCCAGTACATTTAACTTAGCTTGTACATAGAATATAGACGTACGTGGCATTGTAGATGCGTAGTGGGAATGACACGCATAAGATTGACTAGCCTCGAGAACAAAATTTTACTTCAAAAAGTCTCGAGACTTACGTGTAAAGCCAAGCGTGAGCGATGATCAGGGCATGGACAACTAGAGGTAACGAATTGCATTGCTCGAACTGTTCTAATCTAACAAAGACACAATACTGGGACTCCGGGCGTGGCTATCGTATTGGGGGTATCATCAAGTCGTAGGTCAGGCAAACGAAAGCCACTGGCCTGGCCTTATAGCATCGTACAATCCTCTCTGATCCCGTCCCATCTCTCTCCCAACGGCCTAACCAACGGCGCGTCCCAGGGCAAAGGTGCAGTTGTAGCTGAAAAGTAGATCCGTAGTAGTTTGAAGAAGAAAACAAAATAAGCAATTGATATCCTTGTTCCTTTTCAGATTCTTTTTTGGGAAGCGCAACACCAAAAAAGCTCTAAGATTCGGACAAACATTGATATTTACAGATCCAACCCACCCGGAACGCCCCTCGCCGTTGTTGAAGAAAATGCCGTCAACCATTTTTTCCCTGATGCAACAAGCTGAAGACAACAAGTCTACCGGGAACCGTGAGATACCTGGGAAACCGCATGACACAAAGCAGACCATCTCTTCCAATCTTCATTTGAAGCGAATTACACAGAAGCTCCACCTAGCCCGTCTAGGACTTGTAGCGCTGGTACTCACCGGCAACCAAACAATGGTCACGCTCGAAGGGTTCTGTATCATGTTAGTCAGGTGTGCCAAAAGTTATTGATTGTTGGGTGTAAAGCATACCCAGGGTAAGCTGGAACTTGGGCTTGATGGACTCAGCTCGCATCTTCTGGACCTCGTTGGCGAAGACTTCAGCAGCGGGAGCAGTGCTGTCGATACAGTTGGCCTTGATGGAGATGAGAACACCACCGCCAACCTTGAGGAACCAGTTGGCGTTCATGGCGACAATACGAGCCTGATCGGGCTGGGCAACATCGGCAAAGATGACATCGACCATGGGGACGATCATGCGGTAACGGGCAGGCTGGCGGGCGTCCTCAACAATGGGAACAACGTTGGGTCGCTTGGAGGCCATGGTGATGAGATCACGGCCAGATCGGGAAGAGAACTCGACAGCGTAGACGTAGCCAGTAGGACCGACAATGTCAGCGACGTGAGAGACAGAGGTACCGGAGGCACCACCAAGATAGAGGACACGAGAGCCGGGCTTGATGTAGATCTCATCAGCACCACCGGCGATGGCAGCGCAAAGCTTGCTTCGGAATGGGTTCCACATGCGATACTCGATCTTGGTGGTGGTAGTGGTGCCATCGTCGTTCTGGACAGACTCGTCGACAGAGATGCGCTTCTCGCCGTAGACAGACTCGCCAGGTGTTGTGTTGCGGGTAGCAAGACCATCTTCCTTACCACCACGGACGACGAAGACGCCGGGGTGACGGTGAGGCTCCTGTGAAGAAAAAAGTTAGATCGCAAAACTTGGCGAAAAAGTTAGACTGGCAGGATCAACATACAACAATGACCTTGGCACCGCCTCGCTGGCCAGCACCAGCACCGCCGCGACCACCACGAGGACCACCTTTTCATTCTGTTAGTATCGCATTCATCATGCTGTTGAGGAGGACTAATGCTTACCTCGGCCGCCACCGCGAGGACCGCCACGGGAAGCACCACGGCCACCACCTTTGCGAAATAGTCAGTCTTGAAGTTCAACAACACCGCGACAGGAACGCCGCGAGAGCGATATCCATACCTCGTCCACCGCGCGCACCACCACGACCACCGAAGCCGCCGCGATCACCGCCGAAACCACCGCGGCCTCCACGAGCGCCGCCACGACCACCACGGCCGCCTCCTCGAGGAGTGAAAGGAGCCATCTTGATGGGATGAAGAGGAATTGAATAAGTTTGGAAGAATTAGAGACGACTATATGTCGTTGGCGAGAAGGATTCCAAGCGAAGGGATATCGTCGAGAGAAGGCGGACGTGGATCAAAGTCCAAACTTGTCTTTTGTATAGCCTTGTCTGGGGACGCTGGGCGATTTGAGAGACACTTGAGAAAGAATTTTTTGAAGCTCTATGAAGCTCAGACCCACTTTGTCTGTCCAAGTTTCTCCGTCTCCGAGACGGGTCCGGGAATAGAGCGGCAACGAAAGGTGCATTACATGACAGAGTCACGTGGCGATAGTTGATAAGAGTCAAGTGACATGGCTCACATAGTTGTGCAAAATGATGTACAAAATCACAGCGCAGCAAGTCATAAAATATTTCAATACTAATCAATTACGATTTGAGTTCCATCGCAGTTTTCCTCTCGTTGCTCTCCATTTTCTAGCATGTCTTTTGGCCGTTTGAGGCTGTTTTCGCATATCGCACTAACAGGGCAGGCAACCCTAAGGCTCTTTCCCAAAGGAGTGGGGAAAGCGAGTTTGTGGTCCCTCCCGATCTGTTAGGGCAAGAGCTCAGAATTTCTCAATTTCAGCCCGCCAACCCACGTTCGTCGTCGAAACCGTCACTCACCACCCAAGTCGCCGAGATGGTGAGTAACTGCGAGCCCCTGTCGACCGCCATCATGATAAAGAGGAGGATATTCATGCTGTACGAATTGTCACGAACTTGCTGGTGCAATTTTTGACGAAACGTCCATCTTGACCCGGAACCGCTGTGTTTATTTATGATGGCTGCGAAGGCGCGCGTTTTGAAGATGTGCCATGGCTGACTCTGGCTTTTTCTACACTCACAGGTTCGATACGCTGCCACCGAGATCCAGTCCTCGAAGTCGGCCCGCGCCCGCGGTGCCTACCTCCGAGTGTCTTTCAAGAACACTCGCGAGACCGCTCAGGCCATCAACGGCTGGAAGCTTCAGCGCGCTGTTACCTTCCTCGAGAACGTCAAGGAGCACAAGGAGGCCGTCCCCATGCGACGATATGCCGGCAGCACTGGCCGCACCGCCCAAGGTACGACTGAACCAATTCCCCCCCCGTTAGCGATGGACTTGGAGAAATTCGGAGATCGCAAATGGCTGGGATATGCGTCAGAGGAACAAAAATGCTGATGGGACTTAATCAATAGGCAAGCAGTTCGGTGTCTCCAAGGCTCGATGGCCCGTCAAGTCTGCCGAGTTCCTTCTCGGCCTCCTCAAGAATGCTGAGGCCAACGCTGATGCCAAGGGTCTCGACACCGGTGCCCTGATTGTCAAGCACATCCAGGTCAACCAGGCCCCCAAGCAGCGACGAAGGACATACCGTGCCCACGGTCGTGTATGTTGTCTAACTCTTCCGCCTCGAGACTCATCTAACGTCATAAACAGATCAACCCCTACATGTCCAACCCTTGCCACATCGAGCTCATCCTGACCGAGGGTGAGGAGGTTGTCCAGAAGTCTGATGCTGTTGTCGAGCGCGAGCACCTCAGCTCGCGCCAGCGCGGTGCCCGTCTCCGCAAGGCTATCACCGCCGCTTAAACCATCACCAACCTCTATCAAATAGACAAAATTTAAGCGCTGGTTGAAAACTGGGTTTACGTCGGGCATCTTCTGTGCTGTAACTGTGTGACTTTGACAAGATTCTTGAACAAAGGGACACTACACCAAGATTACATTACAAAACTCGATCAATTGTTCTAGGGTTTTTGCGAGGGTGGTTCGTGGCTTTTCATCAACTGGTGTATGGCAGGCTACGGTGAGCATGGCATTAAAGGGAAACACATGCAAAAGTTCGCAAGGTTTTCTTGACGAAATAAAATCATTCAAGTCCTCCTGCATTTGAAGAACAATGTGACGTGATTAGTTAGTAAACGTCAGCTTGCACCATTTAGACTCATGATAGTTGGTCACGAGTGAGGCATTGCATCAGGTTGGATTTAGCGACACTGGCCATATATCACACTCCTCCATGGTTTTCGTTATCATTACTTATACAACGCTTGCTAGCAGCTATCGATTGAGCAAACCTAACTTATTCCAACTAGCAACATAGCGAATGCGATGGGAGCAAAGTCCCCGGCTCGTTTTCATTCAGCGATCATTACGACATCAGCCATCCCGTCCAATTCTGTGAGGCCCGATTGCCTTTTTCCATACCAGTTTTCGAAAGCAATTACCAAACGCCTATGCGATCCTTTCTATTACATCAATGCTAAGCCCAGCCGTTTAGTTCTCACCATCTGTCCATGGTGAGTCGTCATCTATTAGCAACAGTGGGGACTATACACCATCGTGATCATCCACCCCTCGCGGAGGGGTCTGACCATTATCTTGATTACTGAGCGGTAAGCCAACTGGTTGTTGATTGACAGGATTACCCACAACAGGGGCAGCGGCAGCGGCCTGTACGAGAAACGGGGAATCAAGTATGGTGACTGTAGAGCCTGTTCTAGAAATCCAGGCTCAGTATGGCCTCGCCATCTCGTGCCCCTGCAACACTGGCAGCATCGACTGTACCCGAAAATCGACCTTTTCCAGGTATCTCAACACCATCAGCTCTCGCGTCGTAAATTGTACGCTCATCATATACATTGGCCCATCCCATGTCCATCCCAAAAGCAGCTGTAAGCTGCAGTAGCTCCTGGTTCCTTAAGCAAGGAACGATCCGGCAGAGAAGCTTGTCCCGGCACTTCTGCATCAGAGGCGATAAATCTTGAATGTGCGGGTTCCCATTGGCCCCAAGGCCTTGAGCGCCATGCGGCAAGATACTCCGAGTATTTAAAGCCGGTGAATCGACTGTAACATACCCACAGGACTTGAAGGAGAGGCACTTCAGAGTATACTTCTTCTCGTCTGAGCGTAGGCGCTGCGGCGCAGGGATGTGCTGCGCTAGAGGTTCTGCCTGGTCCGAGGCTGGTTGGCTCGAGATATTCAGATTCAGCTCGTCTCTGGCACTCAAAATGTCTCTGATCTTGATGCTTGGGGAGAAATGCTCTATGATGCCTGCCCAAGACAATACATCTGGTTGCTGTAAGATATCCATAGGTGCAGGTGCAGGTGGAGGGGGCGGCAGGGGGGCCTGATTGTTGGGTGGTGGCGGTGGCATGAAAGCCGCTCCAAATACTCCTGCAAGCTGCTGAGCCGTCGCGTTTAATGGGAATGGTGCAACAACCCCATTTGCTATATTGGTAGGCGGAGGTACCAGCACACCAGGAGGTGCAGGGTGCATCCCGATCATATTCAGCAGATGAGCATTGTTTGCTGCGCCAGCTTGCTGGAGCGGAGCTTGGGGAGTGAGAGTCGGTGGACCGGAGAGTGATACCGATTCCAGGTCAAGCTTCTCGAGTGTGGACAGAGCCATATTGCGTATTGTTTGCAAAAGGACATGCGGTGAGGCCCAGCAGTTCTTGAGTGACAAATGCTTAATAAACGGCAATGACAAGAGATCGTCCGTATTAGTCCTGGGGCTATCAATGCGAGTCATGAGTTGAGGTTGTTCAAAGAACGGTGCTGGGAGTATGTGGTGGTTCCGCTGATATGTTCCAGGAGCAAACTCTCCACCACAGATCCATTCAAAGTGAAGGCTTTCAATGTGTGGCTGAGCCCCAATGTAATTGTTAAGCAGTTGATAAACCTTACCAACAGCCTCGACGGGAGAAACTGTATCATCTTCTACACAGCCCGGTGCAGACTTGGAAACGCGTCGCCAGTCGGCAATAACACCTAGCGAAACATTGGTGAGAGACGATAGATTCTGCCATAGCTCGTGTCGACAAAGGATATATACATGGCTACTGGGGATCTTGGCAATCGTGACGGTAGTAAGATTTTTGAAGCAGTTGTCTCGGGCATTGTCGATAAGGCCAATGACATAGGACTGAATCATGGCGCGATGCGCCCACTCGAGCTCGAGGAGCATTTCCTTCTGTGCTCTTGTGAGACTGGCGGGAATCAGCGGATGGTTGACCGCCTCTGCGGTGGCTGGTTCAAAGTCAGCACGATGTGCGTTTTGTGCCATTACTCGTCTAGCTTCCATCTCAGTGATTATGGTTGCTCTCTCATCAAAGTCAATCGCGTTGATGTTGGTGCCCTCAGTCTCCAACAACATAAGCACAGCTTCGTTGATCTGGGCGCCTGAGTACCCAGCATCTGAGGCCATTTTTTGCAGCACTGTTCGCTTGAAACTAATGGGGTTCTCAAACACAGGCTTTCTGAAATCCTTGACCATTTCATTCAGGTCTGACATGGTGACGATTGGTTGCTTCCGAGCTTGTGACTCAGAACCCGTGTGACGCCAATTCTGCGTTGCAAACACGGGATGGAGAGTGGTTGCACCTCGTGCGATATGATCAGGGCCCGACAGAAATCCGAGGCCAGCATCACAACAGAGTCCAAGATTTGTGACTTTGACCAAGCACTTCAGCGCTTCCTTCATAGCCTCAGTTTCGTCAGCCGTTTGTTCGAGACCTTCAAGATCAGTGTATCGGTGGTAAGTGCCATGTGGCCAGCGGTATATGCCCCAGAAAGAGGGGACGGCTTCTTGCGAAGGCTTCACTGGAGGGTATGAAAGCGTGTCCTCGTCAAGCTCCAAAGACAGCGCAAAGCGCCGGATGTGTGGACCAAAAGACTGGAAGATGCGCATCCCATTTGAGAGAAGAGCGGAGGATGTGCGCTTAAAGACTCCGTTTTCATCACGATCCAACTTGCTGTAGAGCTCTGACTTGAAGGGCACGACAACATTTCGAAAGTACTGTGCAGAAACCTTGTTCTCAAATTCTTTACAGACAAGTCGCAAACATCTGACCTCGAGGCGGGTGAGGTACGAAATTATGATCTCAAAAATCTCAACCGGTATTTCGTTCGTGGGCCATGTAACGGCGGACATCGCTCGGCTTCGTTCATGAGAATCTGGCAGTTCAAGGAGAGCGGGCATTTCTTCGTCACAGGAGGGGGGAGCAGTGCTTGGTCTTCTCTGGCGTAATGCCGGGTCGATGGCGTCAATCCAGTTGGGATCCATTATCGCGATGGGTCGACGGACTGCACGTCTCGGGGTTCGTATAGAGCGCTGTCAGAATAAAGTGGCTGCGAGAATTAACGGTTGAGGCGATTTGCTTTCGGTCGGACGGAGGGCTAAGATGTCGTCAAGGTACTCTGATGGCGGGGCGTTGGAGCAGCGGGGAATGTAGAGAGGAAAAAGGACCAAGGTGTTTAATATGAAGAAGAAAAATAATAGCAATAATTCAATGTCGTACAGCAAGGTTCAATGTAGAAGGCGAATAGCCGCCGGGGTGTCTCTCTTTTGTCGCAACCAGGGTGAATAAGTGAATGAATGAATCCGTGATGTAGTGCTCGGTCGGCTGCAGAGAGCGGGTTGGATCGGATCGATGCGGCCAATGCCTGGTGGCAAACGTATAGGTCTGGGGGAAGGTGAAATCGAGGGGACAGGGCCCTCGTCTCCCGGTAGTTGGTAGAATATGTGTCGATCTATGCCGGGGTCAATTGTGCGATTGCGGCTCCGAGGGGAGAAAATCCATGAGTCGAAGATGGGGATGGCATGTTTATGTTTAGACGTTAACTAACCTACCTAACCTTAGGATGTGGGGGAGACGGGAGACATGGGCAGTCCAGGGTAGCGAGGGATCCACTTTTAGAGAGTGCCCCATCGGCCATATTCCGTGCCACAAATGAATGTACCTATAGACCTTCACGATGGGACGGGTGCAAAGCGAACCTGAACCACCCTGCTGCAAATCTTTGTACGGATACTGTATAGCATCGAGTTATAGTGGACGTCTTTGTTAAACTACCTAAGTACATTAGGCCACAGCCATAAAAATGTATGTTGCCTCTAGGACTTAGTTTCATCGTGCCGAGAGTTTACATCAAGATTCCAACAGCGAAAAATCAATTATTTTGAATTACAGGTAACCGTTGCTCGCTCACAACGGAGAGGCGTATTTTTTGCTCTCTTTAGAAACTATGAGATGATGGAAATCATAGGAAAGCTACGCTGATACCGTCATTCCTCAACTTGAGTTCAGGGATTAGCCCTGTGAACATCCCCATGGGGAGATCCATCGGAATGCGATAGCCTGGAGCCTGGAGAAGGCCGGAGATCTTTAAGTTGGGTTGCAACATTGGAGGGATCAAATGCTTACGAAGCGCATCACGTCGCTACAATGATATGATTTCATACAGTGTGATTAAAAGTCTTTCGCTCCAGTAAAAACTCCGACCGTATGGGTTCACTCGAAAGAATCGAAGTTCAAGTCACGAGTTAAATTATTGACCTCCACATCGCTGACATTCGGGATATTACATGTCCAAAACAATACTATCTACGTGTATAAGAGAAGAATACCATCAAACTTAAAAAAAAAAAAACCCCAAAAAAAACCCCCCAAAAAACCCCCAAAAAATTCCATTTGCTTCCTCTTTCACTTTACGCATCGTCTTCTTCAATATCGCCAGCCCAGAACCAATATCTGATACAATGTTAGTCATCGTGCTCAACATCTACTCAATCTTGTAAAGAGGCACTTACAATGTGGCATATTGAACCTCGAATTCAGCATCCATACCCTGGCAAGTTGCAGGGGCGCTACCACCGGCTGTCGTAGTTCGGTAGACTTCCTTCATCTTGTGGGTAGCACCCTCAATGGTGGTGAGTCTGAGCCATGGCACAGCATTCTCACCAAGCTGTCCCTTGGCAGAGAGAGATGGAGCAGGAGCGCTGCTGTTCTTTGCGCATGGAGCCTCACCAATGTCTTGGTTGGGAGTGCGGAGGTCGAAGAAGGGCGTACCATCGGCGGTGAAATAATGGTGGCCAGACTCGGCGAGGGATGCAGGACCAAGCTTATTGGCATCTGACAGAGGGAAGTGAACGGCCATTCCAGGGATGCGTTCGATCAGATCTGGGTACATAGCGGCGATGCAGCTACCGTTGAAGAGAGTGGCCACAGCACCAGTAGCAACGGGAGCTGATGAAGGCTTGCTGGTATCGCATGTATAGTTTTGCGTACCACGTCCGATAGCGACATGGGCCAGCTTTAGGCCCTTGGCTGGGGAAGGTAATTGGCCATCTGAAATCACCGGTTAGTCAACTGAGAACAAGCACTGGATAGTGGTGACATACCAAGAGGCATCTTAGCCTGTGAGAGATCACAGACAGGAGCCATTCCATATGACTTGACCGCCTTGACCTTATCCGCAACCAAATTGAAGTAACCAGACAATGACCCTAATGTGTCAATGGCGGATCCAGCATTGGCGACGGTGACGGTAGGATAGGTTGGTGCTGCAGAGGCAGTCACCGCGAGGACGGAAGCGACAAATGTTGATAATTGCATCTTGACGTTGTGTTACAGGGGTGTTTTGGTGTGTGATTTGTATGATATCGAGGATATGGGCGTGTCGGTGTCGTTTCGGGTCGTCAAGATGTATGCCGTTAAGAGAAATAAAACCCAAGGAACAACAGAAATGTTTATAGATAATCGACCGTAACGAGACTACTTGTTGACCCTAGGAAATAAGGAAATAACAGATAAAGGAAATAAGAGACAAAAAGGGAAAAAGAACGCTCAGCGTCTTTGAGTGTATACAGACAGACAAATGCAGAGATATTCTTTTCCTGCCTCTTTTCTTTCTCAACACCGTCAGGCGACGAACCCATCTCTTAATATACCAGCCTTCCCCTCCAGCCAGGACCCTGTTACACGCGCCTAAGCGTACGGGCGGTAGGTCTGAGCAAATGGCCATGATTGGATTATCTGCCAAGATCTGGATACAAAAATAAACACCAGCCTTTTTGCAATGTCTGAGATGTACATCCACGTCTGGTTCATATGTGATCCGGAAACAAGATTGAGCAACGAGAGCCAATCATTTGATTGTTGAAGAGAGTCGCTAGGGTTGTGATTGGTGGGAGGCATTAGTTTTAAGCGCCTGGCTCGGGCGTCGGCATATGGATGCATGGGCGTTTAGAAATGGAGATGAGCACGAGGAAATGCCACGACAGTGACAATTCCGCTTTTTTATGCACTTTGCCATGTGCGATCTGGGTTCGTGCAGTCGAGCCTATCATTGAAATAATACACAGACATACGGAGTATATCTGACCCTGTTCTCTAGATAGACCGCCTGTTTACGTCGTCCCATGTACGTATGGTGGTCTGTAGATGTTATACATACCTAGGTACCCAATCAACAACGATGATGGCCGTTGTACTGCATTCCCTTTTCTGTGTGACCACGTTACTACGAAGACTCTCGGGTTCAAGTCACACTCCAGCCTCTCAACGTTACCCTCTCCATCCCCAAGCCAGCCCAGGCTCCCGTTAATAGATCCCAAGATCTCTCGGCGCCACTGACGAACCAACCTCAGCCCAGCATCAAAACATTCAAGACCTCCCAAGAAACGGGAAACAGAGTCCCTTGACCATAGTAAATTACATACAGGGCCTTGTGTAGCTTGCCGCCAGCATGCGAGCCTCTGATTGGACCGCGGATCATGCATGCCTACGGGCCGCGATAAGCGGCCAGCGGCTGCAGAAAATAGCAACTGACCCGCGTCCCCTCTTATTGGGGCGGCCTATTTTCGCACATCAAGTCGAATATAGCCAAGCTTCTATCGACATCATGACTTGCATGTTTTAGCGGACCTCAGAGACTGTCTAGAACAACTCTGTCACATGTTTACTTGATTTTCCCTTGAGGAGGTTGCTTAGGTGGATCATGTTATGGTCTAATTCAAGGTTCTCACCACCCAACACAATAACACCATCCATCTTGGCATGGCATGGATCTCGCTTCAAACGCACGAGATATCGCTTGCTTCCCTAATATGTACAGTAAATAGCACGAGATCTCAGATATCCAATGACTCCACTGCCGGCCCGTGCTTAACGCAGGTCTATCCTGATATTGATACAGTTCCATCTCCCGCGGAGATTCGTCGACACATTCCCTTTCCGGCTTTTGAGCAAAACACTTACAAAACATGACGGCGCATCGCCCTACTTGGCAGGATCTTTAGGCGCTCCGTCCATTGGACTGCCAAGTGAGCCCCCGGCAACTCCAGCTGCCGCTGCCGCGGCGGACTCAAGATGGGTTACCCGCTGGACATCTGACGAACTGAGCCAATACAAAGTTACAAATACCAGCAAATGGAGCCCTACGCAGTACGCAGCAAACAGGTTTCGGCTGGTTCGCGAAGCAAGTACCGTGCGTGTCAATGAGTAGACTACACGTTCCGGTAGACTCATCCGTTTGTAGGCTCGAGCAGACTCTCGCCCACGGAAAGCTGCAAAAGGAGAAATATTGGACTCGTATGCCTGTCGGTATCGGTCCATCGCGATGCCAGGATTGCCCGTTTCGCCAATCGACACTGTCGATGGGTTTGGATTCGCTCCGTACGCCGACGATGTCGCTGCGCCTCCTCCTCGGTTGTATGTTGAAACATATCTTGTCTTCTCGTAGAGATTCAGGTTGTCCTTCTGAAGCGCTGCGACTTCCTGGCGTAGCTGCGAGACTGTTCGGTGCGTATCTGACAATTCTTCCTCAAGTTCTGCATTCTTCTTCTTATAACGGTCTCGCTGGGCCGTGACCATGGGCAACATGCCCGAGCCTCCTCCATAGACTCGTTCCCCAGGTTCACCTCCCCCCATACGGGGATCCATACCACTGATGATTGACGACGTTGGCGAGATTCTGCCACTCTTGCGGCCCATTGCCCGGGTGACATATGTTCCCGCTACAGATGCACCAGATGGAAATGCGTTAGCACCTTCTTCCTGGATTGTTTCCAAATCACTCTCCAGTTTCTGGTTGAGCTTCTGGGCTCGCTCCAATTCGGCGTTAGTTTTTGAGAGCTCCTCTTGAAGATCTTCCAATCGACTTTGTAAATCGTTATGCGAAACACGTAGCACAGTCAACTCATCGCCCAGCTTCTTGTTTCGAGCCAAGAGAAGCTTCTCGAGAGAATTACCCTCCACATCCTTTGCCTCCAGGTGCTCTCTT